CTTCCGCCGGCCTGCGTTTTTCCGGTCCTCCTCCGGTTTTCCCACTTCGTTTGGCTCTTCGCTGGGACTTTCGGCTCTCTTCGTGAGCCCAATTCCGGGGCTGTTTCTGAAGGCCGACTGGGCGTCTCTGCGCCGTGACCCGCCCTACTCGGGGCAAAGACCAATGGCCTCTTTTCTCGGCACGCCGCTGAGGCCGACTGGCGGGGACAGTGGCCCGGAACCGAGGAAATGTCGTGAGCCAATCAGGAGCGTCGTGAGAGGTTGCGCGCTCTGCTGCGCGTCACTAGGCCAGCGCGAGCTCCGCGGGGTCTGCGGGGGGCGCGAAGCCCGCCGGGGTGGCGAGATGCTGCGACTACCGCACTGGCTTCTTTTCTGGGGCCGTCTAATGACACAGGGTGGGAGAGAAACACATGTTTAGGGAGTGGAGAGTGGGAGCACGTGGCAGGTGCCCAGCAAACACTTGATGAGTGAAAAAAAGAATGTGGTCCTTGGGAAAATTCCGAGGACTCCTGGTACCCTAAATTTCTAGTTGCCACCGGGCTTACTTGTCAGTAAAGATACCCTTGAATGAAGAGGCCTTTGCTGCCCTGCTTGAAGCTACTCCCTTCACTGCCTTTCTTGCTTCCAGACCTAGTGCCAATTGCAGAATCAAACCCTGGAACAGACACTTGGGCTTGAGTCAGGTGGCTCTGGCCCAGTGGGCAGAGCTCAGCCTCACCTCCTAGGAAGGAAGGCAGGAGTGGCAGCTGGGAGGTTGACCTTCAGTGGCTGGACCTCGGTGCTTTTTGGGTAATAGGTGAACTAGCTGATTGGAATAACAGAAATCAAAAGTGAATGATGGGAAGGCTAATGTCAGTTGCTGCAGCAGAACATCATAATCCCTTACTCTTTAAATTTGAGCCAGTTACAAGACCAGAGCCCATTGCTGGAAAGGGAAGCTTGGCCCCTTTAAGGAAAGATCCTATCATGCCACTGTAAGTACATACAAAAATTATTTCTCCAATCCATCTCAAAAGGTACCTAGAGCCACGGTTTAATTTAAATAACTACTTTGTAAAAGGAACTATCGGAGCCCATCAAGGTTACATGTGGGATCTTAGTTGGCATCAGGGCACTAGAAACACCCTAATCCTCTAGAGTGCGAGTTTGTGGAAGTCATGCCAAAGGGAACCCTGGCCCACTTCCTCCTGGTGCTCTAGAACTTAGGAAGTCACCTTTGACTTGTGAAATATGAACTGTATGGTAAGGAGAGCAAAGCACGAATTCCCCACCCCAACCTATCCCCCACCCAGAACAGTAAATCAGAAACAGAACTGAATTTTAGGTGGACTTGCAAATTGTGTTACCCTCATGATCCCCATCTTATCTCTTCTGTTCTCCTGGATGGACCCTGTGGACTACCACAAACTTAGCCAATTAGTATCCCCAGTTAAGATAAGGGCTGGGGATTTGGCTCAGCGGTTCGGTGGCCTGCCTTGCAAGCGCAAGGACACCAGTTCAATCCCCGGTACCAAAAAAATAAAAACCTCCTAAAGACACGATCAGGCATGTTCAGGGTGGTATGGCTGTAGACAGTCTCCAGTTATAGTGTGCCATGTGCTGGGCATGGTAGCTTTTTTATAACCAATTAGTGCACCTCTGACGTGATACTGAAAGTATTGATATAGTGAACATTCTTTACAACTCCCACTTGTAGGGAAGATCAAGAACAGTTAACATTTATTTATTTTTATTTTTAATTTTTGGTATCGGGGATTGAACTTGGGTCCTTGCGCTTGTGAAGCAGGTGCTGGAACCACTGAGCTAAAACCCTGGCCCAATAACAGTTGACATTTATAAAGGAAGGACAGCCGTGCACATTATCTTATCTTGCTCCAAGACTGTGTTAACTCTACTGTTCTGTTACAATCTAGTCTGTGGGGACTTTGTCGTCTGAACATTATACATACAATTAATGACATCATACTAAATGGTCATGGTGAAGAAGAACGTGACAAATACATTTGCTTGCCAAGACAGTACATGTCAGAGAATAAACACTCAGGCTATGGAGCTTGTCGCATTAGTGAAGTTCTTAGAGGTGAAGTGTTATAGAGAAAAGCTGGGACATCACTTTTAAGGTAGGACAAGTTACTGCATCATACATCCCTATCCGGAGGTGTAGCTCTTAATGCACCTGTCCAACTACAGAGTCAGTGTGTACCATACTTGGCAATACCATCTGACACAATTTTGGAGTAGCTTGGAAAACTACCAGCTTTAGGTGTGGCACAGAGAAAAAGAGGGCTAGCTCTTCTGATGATCCAGATTGGAGAATGCATTCCCCTGCCACTTAGCAGGACCAGCGGGGGTAGGATTGGTCTCATTTGTGAAATATAAGGCCCCTGTGTGGTACCTCTAGAAAGCCCCAGCTGCATAATTGCAGTACACACTCCTAGAATTCTAGAGCAATATCACTCACAGGTAAGAACGACATCTGGCATGATACCAGATCCAAGTAGAGGCTGAGCAACTGACTGTGATGCATCACAAGACCATGTAATGCAGCCTGCCTGTGCTGGGGTGGATGTTGTCAGATCCACCAAGTCAATAGGCAGGCAGGCTCAGTAGTACGTAGTATTCATGGTGTAATGAAACAGGTGTCCTTGGGGTTGAATCCAAGCTTGTCCAGAAGGCAGTAGTCATCTGTAGGAAAAGGTGGCTACACTACACTGTTTCCTACTTTGTTGCATCTGATGCATCTCTCTTAACAGACCAAAAAAAAATTGTGTTTGGTTCATAGATGGGTCACCACAATGTGTTATGAGCAGAAGATGACTGCTGCTGTACTGTAGTCCTCTTCCGGGTAGCTCTCAAGGACAGTGAAGGGAATCCTACAGAGGGCAGAGCCGGAAGCCATACTCTTGGATATACTTTGTATGGGGGAGTAGAGGGAGCAGTGGCCCATGAGAGGAGTACATATGAACTTCTGGACTGTGATGATGTCTTGCTCTTTGGTCAGGAATGGGCAAGAGGGGAGATTGGAGACAGGAAGATCTGGGGAAGCAGCTGGCCTAGGGGGTGGTCACAAAATGTATATATTTCTGAGCCTCATGCTAATACGTATTGTAGAGGAGTCATTAAACAATAAGATGGATAAGATCAGGTAGCTTTTGCTTTTGGCTACCATGTGCTTGTACAGTGGACCATGGGCAAGGTTGCCATAGTAACAGGAGTGCAGGTTCTGCCTACCTAAATGGGCTCTCTCTTGTCAAGCAAGGGTTAGCCAACTTTTATTGCTGTTGAATGTCTGACCAGTTAGCAGCTGAGATCAAGCTTAGCCCTTACTATGGTACCATCCCTGGAGGAAACCAACTAGTCACTCAGTGGAAAACTGGTTACAGTCCATCTTTTATACCTGACTCATTCATCTTTAGTGGAATTGATCCCTGCTTTGGTTATGAGTTTGCCTTTTTTGTCCATAGTGCCTTAGGCTAACACCACTATCTTGGAGTTTAGAGAATGTTCAATTTACCAGCATGTGATCATGAATAACATTGCCTTAGGCCAAAACATTTATGTCATAGTGAAAGAGGTGTGACAATATATGGATTGCCATGGGATATACTACTTCTCTGATGTCCTGCATTATACACACGCTGCCAGCCTAATAAAAGATAGAATGATGCCTTAAAGATGTAGCTTTAGGACAGAATCCTGGGGGGTTGGGGTATTTTCAGTGAATCAAAGCTTCATATGTGGGTGCTGTGCCCCCAAGAGATAGAATGTGAGAGTTTAGGAACCTATAGGTTGGGATTAGCTACTTCCTACTGTCATCCCCAGCAACTTGCATGTAGAATACACAGCTGTGGAATCTGCTGGAGTAGAGCCTAGTTTCCAGGTAGGAAACACTTCCATGAAGAGATGTCCACTAGTGGGAGGAAACAATACCACCTCTCTATCAGAATCTGAAGATACCACCTTGTCACTCAGTTCCTTCTGCTCATAGGCCAGCAGGCAAGAGGAGATTTTTATGACTTATATCTAGATGTCTCCCCAAAGCCTCATGTGGTTATAGGTGGGGCTTTTTGAGGGTGGCTGGATCTAGGATGTGTGATGGAGATTAAGGGTGTTTTATTGCTAAATTAGTCCACTGATTGTTTTGACACAGTTCTGAATAGGATTAAGTATGAGTATGAGTTCTGTCTGCCCTTAGAGATGGAA